TTTTTAAACTAATTATATCAAAATAAACTTGTATAATTTAATTTTAAATATAAAAATTAGATTAATTTTTTTTTAAAATAACTTATTAAATTAAATTTAATAAGACTATGAAATAATTCTCTAAAACCTAGGTATTCTTTACTACGATAAAACAAATTTGATACAAAATGGAGACACGTAAACTAGTATATTTCAATAACACGAGTTATCTTCGCTCACTTTGCAAAATCATACACTTATTTTATTTTTATTTTTTGGATTTAAGAAAATTCTACTCTCTGAAAAGTGTGTTTTATATTCTAAATTTTTATAAAAAATACACGTCCTAACTTAATTTTAAAATCTGTTGTGTAGATCTCAGTTACTTCACTATCACATTATATCACTTGGAAACTATACACTCATCCTTTTCAACGAGCATGGATTCCCAATAAGAAGCCAACAACACTCAGACCACAGGAGTGACCGGTTTTATTTTATTTTTATCAATTGTTCTAAGAACTCCTCTTACTGTCTGCTAATCATTAGTAATCAACAAAAAAAATCCCTCTTCAATTATCATGTCTCTTAATTTACTCCAGCAGCGGCTCATCTGGTGGTGTGGCCTTCCATCTCGGTTTCATGTTCGGTTTGAGTCAGGAATGTTTGTTTTCGGTTTGGTTTTAAACTAAAAATAACGGATGTACATCAAGCAAGAGAGAAAAAGTCGTGGCTCAGCGGCTGTTGGGGCTGATTGCCTTCCTTCGAGCCTAGGCTCAAATCCCTGTGGGGTAACGATATTTTTGTTGTAATCTGGTCAAGGCTTGTTTGGTTTTATTATTAATAATAATAAAAACACTAAAAATAGCCTAGCGAGGGAGCCCCATGTTAGTTGTTGCTGGGCCCCATCACATTGATCTTTGTCTGAGGCTTTTTGCGTGTAAAGTCTTGTAATCTTTGAGCTTCGTTTTCACGCTAAAATTCAGTATCCAAAGTTCCAAACAACTACATGAACTAAATATCTTTTATTATTAATAATAAAATAGACACAACGACACTTCAAGTCACACTCATCAGCAGTTGATGGATTTGAAACCTGTCTCATGCTAGGTTTTATGTTGAATCATACGAGAAATTTAAATTGATTATACTCGAGTAAATATGCGGCTCAATTAATAATTCAAGTGATTAAATAAATATTTTAAAAAATAATATTATTTCAAAAAAACATTTTCCATAACAATATTATTTTAAATAAATTATTTTAAAAAATCAATCATTAAATATTATATATTCTCACTGTTTAGATCATATTAAGGTAGTTTTTGTTGGGAATTCCGACCGGTAATGTACTGATATTTGTTCATAGGAGGCCAAGCACACTAAGACACGGTATTTTAACATGGTTCGGAAAAACCGCTTACATCCACGGGAGAAGTCATTGCATTATGTAGGGAGAGTACAAGATTTACAACAATAGAGGGGGAGGAATCATCCCCTCTTTCACAACTCTCAACAGCCCACTCTCTCCTACATTTCTCACATCTTTGGCTCTTTTCTTTCTCTCATTTTGCTCTCTAACATATACTTTTATTTATAGGCATTCATGGAGGCTCTTCTTGGTTTATTGTCAACATTGGTGGCCATCAATTCTAGTTCATTCAACAATGGTGGCTACCAATAGTCAATTGTCAATGGTTGGTGCTTTACATGAAATGACAACCAACCTAACAGTTTTAATATAATTTAGCTTAGATTATTTGGAGAAGTTGGGTTTGGATATTTTTTTTGTCAATTATATTATTATTTTTTAATTTTATCATTAATTTTTTTTATTAGTTAATCAGATTGTTTTTAAACTAATTATATCAAAATAAACTTGTATAATTTAATTTTAAATATAAAAATTAGATTAAATTTTTTAAAAAATAACTTATTAAATTAAATTTAATAAGACTATGAAATAATTCTCTAAAACCTAGGTATTCTTTACTACGATAAAACAAATTTGATACAAAATGGAGACACGTAAACTAGTATATTTCAATAACACGAGTTATCTTCGCTCACTTTGCAAAATCATACACTTATTTTATTTTTATTTTTTGGATTTAAGAAAATTCTACTCTCTGAAAAGTGTGTTTTATATTCTAAATTTTTATAAAAAATACACGTCCTAACTTAATTTTAAAATCTGTTGTGTAGATCTCAGTTACTTCACTATCACATTATATCACTTGGAAACTATACACTCATCCTTTTCAACGAGCATGGATGCCCAATAAGAAGCCAACAACACTCAGACCACAGGAGTGACCGGTTTTATTTTATTTTTATCAATTGTTCTAAGAACTCCTCTTACTGTCTGCTAATCATTAGTAATCAACAAAAAAAATCCCTCTTCAATTATCATGTCTCTTAATTTACTCCAGCAGCGGCTCATCTGGTGGTGTGGCCTTCCATCTCGGTTTCATGTTCGGTTTGAGTCAGGAATGTTTGTTTTCGGTTTGGTTTTAAACTAAAAATAACAGATGTACATCAAGCAAGAGAGAAAAAGTCATGGCTCAGTGGCTGTTGGGGCTGATTGCCTTCCTTCGAGCCTAGGCTCAAATCCCAATGGAAGTGGGGTTAGCAAGTTGTTTCCTTCATGTTTCTACTGGATCCTCTCTGTGCGGTATGCCTGTCATCCCAGCGGTGCCTTATCTGTTCACTGAGCTTGCAGGATGTTCAGTGGACCGTGGGATTGGTCGTGGTACGCGCAAGCTGGCCTGGACACCCACGTTAAAAAAAAAAAGAAAAAAAAAAGAAAAAAAAAAAGAAAAAAAATTGAGTCCACTGAAAATTCCTTCTCTTACTTTCCTCTACCTCATGTCATTTCCAGACAAAACATCTATAGTTAAGAAAAAAAAAACTATATTATATTAATCTGGATAAGAAATTAATGATGTTTAATAAGTAATCGATCAACAGAGTTTATTTAAAAAAACAGAGAAGTATTGTTGACAGAGACAACCACTGTTACAAAAACTAAATTAATATAAATTCTATCCTGCAAAAGAAAACAACCAACTACTATCAAACAATATAAGCCACTATCTATGTTATTACGAAACAGAGATGGAGATATTGGAAGACAGCGAGATTGATTAATGTTGAGAGGGTGATTCGCTTGAAGAACTATGGAGATGATTAGGATGTTTGGGGTTGTGGTGTAATTGTATTTTACAATTTTTAAAATGTTTTTATTTAAAATTAATTTTTTTGTAATACTTTTAAATATATTGATGTTAAAAATATTTTTTTTAAAATTATTTTATTTTATTTTTAAATATAATTGTTTTTAAAAATAATCACTATCACATTTTAAAAAATTTAAAAATTTAAAAATTAAAAAAGGGTTGTGAGTTCTGATTTTTGTTAATGCTAGGAAGTAAGATTCTTAATTTAAAGAACACTTATTTTTTAAATTAGATATAATAAGTCCAATTTAATCAGTTTCAATCTTTGAAACTAAATGAAGTCAAATGTTATTTTTTAATTTTCTAATTTTTTGATGTTTTTTTATTTAATTGATTTGTTGTTTTTTTCTTCACTTTGAGTGTGATTCTAATTAGGGATTGGTAGCCATCGAAATTATAGTCTTATTTATTCGTTAAGGCATCATAAATTTCAGTCTTACTATAAGCCTTGAAACCAATTTACTTCAGTTTTTTTCAACCTTCGAAATTAAAATGGTCTCCATAAGCTTCTTGTTTTTCAGTGATAAAGTAACGATTATGGTGAAGTGATAATGAATCTTTAGTTTTTTGAAAAAAACTATAATACTTGTAATTTTTTTATAGTTTGTTATTGTCAATTCTCCTCCTAAATATAATATTAGAAGTTAATTTTTTATAGTTTTTTATTACTAATTTTCTTGTTTGCTTTATTTATTATTAATATTTTTTAATCATATTATTAAATTAACTAAATTTAGAATGTACTATCTATTTAGAATCAACTAAAATATACTTATTTTATACTTATGTATTTTTATGAAATTCACCAACGTATATTTGGTTGACCTATCTATATATATCATTTTTAAATGAGAAATAAACAAATCATAATCAACCCTCGAAGCTTGGATTTATTTAGTTGCTAAACAAATTTAATCTTGATATATAAAAATTAATTAAAAAATTACGGTGTTCTTGGTGGGTATGATCATAGAGCCATTTATCAATTTACAAATCACTGATCATTATCTTTTTTTGCCCCTCACAAAAGTGTAAAAGAGAAGGAAACATACGGGGAAGGGAAACCATGCCAATGACAGCAAGCATCACATTGATTGTTAAATGGGGAAAGATAATTTTCATAGTTGTAAAAACCCAGGGTTAATATGAGATAAGGTTTGGTGGCTGTTAATGAGAGTTGATTTAGATTAATTTATTTTGTTTATATATTATTTTAATTATTTTTTTAAATAAAAAATTTTAACAATTAATTTTAACCTGATCATATCCGAATAAATTAAATTAACGAGTAAATTTATATTTGTATTTTTTTAACATAAACAAATTTAAATCTTCAATTAAATAATTTTTAAGTCTATTTAAGTTTAATAACTAAAAAATAATTGATTTTATTTTTGATTTTCCATAATATAATGTTCCAATATACTTTAATTACCTGTTAAGCTGCTTCCATAAAAAATCTTTAAAAAACCATATCCCTCACCAATAAAAAAAATAAAATAGAAAAAATGAAATTATATTAATATCTTGATTAGTTTTGTTTTTCAAAAGTATTTTTTTAAAATAAGAATTTTTATTTTTTATTTAAATTAATTTTTTTATTTTTAAATTATTTTAATATATTAATACTAATAATAACTTTGAAAAAATAATAATAAAATATTATTTTAATATATTAAAAAATATCTTAAAAAAACAACAACTAAACACCGATCAACCCTAATCACGACACCAAACAAAACAAGAAGACCTTATAACACATAAGAAGGAAAAAAAAAAAAAAAAAACTCTCTCTCGCTCTGTTTCTCTCTCTCTCAATGGCTGACCTTCTTCTCTCTTTCTCTCTCCTCCTCTCTCTCCTCCTCTCCACCACCACAACAACCACCGCGGATGATGCAGGCACCATGCTAAAACTAGCCTCTGCCCTAACCCCGACACCAAAAGGCTGGTCAACAACAAACACCAATGGCTACTGCAAATGGAATGGTGTTAAATGTGACAACTCCAACAATGTGATTTCCATTAACTTAGCTTCTCAAGGTCTCTCAGGGACTCTCCCATCTGAGCTTTCAACGCTTTCTCAACTTCAAAGTTTGTCTCTTCAAGAAAACAAGCTGATCGGTCCTTTGCCTTCTCTTGCAAATTTAGCTTCTTTGAGAGAAGTTTATATTGGTACTAATAATTTCACCAGTATCCCTATAGATTTCTTTAAAGGGTTAACTAGTTTGCAAACTTTGAGCATGGATGCGAATATAAATTTGGAACCTTGGGCTATTTCTACTGATCTTATTGAGTCTTCTAGTTTAAATACTTTTGAGGCTAGTCACGCTAACATCTTTGGTACTATACCTGATATGTTTGCTTCTTTTCCTAGTCTGCAAAATCTTAGATTGTCCTATAATAACTTAACTGGAGGGTTGCCTCCATCTTTTGCTAATTCTGGGATCCAGAATTTGTGGCTTAATAATCAGGAAATGGGATTGTCTGGTACTATTGAGGTGTTGCCTTCAATGGAGCAATTGAGCCAAGTTTGGCTTCAGAAGAATCAGTTTACTGGGCCAATTCCAGATTTTTCAAAGAGCAAGAGTTTGTTTGATTTGCAGTTGAGGGATAATCAGTTTACTGGGATCTTTCCGGTTTCTTTGTCTTCCCAAGCTGGTTTGTTGAATATTTCTTTTCATAATAATAAATTACAAGGTCCTGTGCCTCAGTTTGGAAAAGGTGTTGAAGTCGATAATAGTGGTCTTAATAATTTTTGTGTGGATACTGCTGGTGTTGCTTGTGATTCACAAGTGACCACTTTGCTCGAGATTGCTGGTGGTTTTGGTTATCCTGTGATGCTGTCTGATTCGTGGAAAGGGAATGATGCTTGCAGTGGTTGGCCTTTTGTTACCTGTGATTCACAAAAAAAGACTGTCATTACAGTGAGTTTGGGGAAGCAGCATTTTGGAGGGATAATCTCTCCTGCGTTTGCTAATCTCACTGCTTTGACAACTTTGAAATTGAATGATAATAATTTATCAGGTCCCATTCCCGATAGCTTGATGAAGTTGTCTCAACTTTCGCTTCTTGATGTCTCCAATAACAATCTCACTGGGAAGATCCCAGCTTTCGCATCTTCAGTGAAGCTAACCATTACACCAGGTAATCCTTTGCTTGGGAGTGGTGGGGGTTCTGGAAGTGGAGGGACATCATCATCTGGTTCAGATTCAAATACAACTACACCTGGAGGTGTTCCTAATGGAAGAGGAAATGGTGGTAAGAAGGTGAGTCCAGGTGTGATTGCTGGTGTTGTTGGTATTGTGATTGTTGGTGCTATTGGCATCTTCGTGTTGTTCAAGGTTAATCGCAAGAAAAAGAGAGGGAAGTCTGGGAGAGTGAATGATCAAGAGAATGGGAATGGAATCAATGCATTGGTTAAGAATGGTTCATCGTGTTGCACGAATGGGTACGGGGTTCTCAGTGAAATACGAAGTCAAAGTAGTGGCAACCATAGTGGCCGGCACTTTTTTGAGGGTGGGAACATTGTGATTTCAATCGAGGTACTTAGACAAGTAACTGATAATTTCAGCGAGAATAACATTCTGGGTAAGGGAGGTTTTGGTGTGGTTTATAAGGGCGAATTGCATGATGGGACTAAGATTGCTGTGAAGCGGATGGAATCTGGGGCAATGGGGACAAAAGGAATGAATGAGTTCCAGGCAGAGATTGCAGTGCTTACCAAAGTGAGGCACAGGCATTTAGTTGCTCTTTTGGGTTACTGTATAAATGGAAATGAGAGGCTCTTGGTGTATGAGTACATGCCACAGGGGACTCTCGCGCAACATTTGTTTGAATGGCAAGAACTTGGTTACCCTCCTCTTACTTGGAAACAGAGGGTTACAATTGCACTGGATGTGGCTCGAGGAGTGGAATACCTGCACAGCTTAGCTCAGCAGAGTTTCATTCATAGAGATTTGAAGCCGTCAAACATACTTCTTGGAGATGACATGAGAGCTAAGGTTGCTGATTTTGGTTTGGTTAAAAATGCGCCTGATGGGAAGTATTCTATGGAGACAAGGCTGGCAGGAACCTTTGGCTATCTTGCACCCGAATATGCTGGTTAGTAGAGGTTTAAATGTCCATACTTGGTTGTCTCCATTCAAGTGATTGCAAGTTTCCTTAGCTTATTATATTGCATCAATTCGTATTTTGTTATCTTTCCATGCTTGCAACCTTGAAGTAGTAAAACTGCCTACTTTTACCCATTTGTATAATTATAGGAAAGCCTAAGGCCTCCTACACACTTGCATTTCATTTTTCGACGAGCTTAGTACTTTGCTATGCACACTGAAGTTTCAGAAAGTGTGATTCTTGATCTAGTGGCATGATCCTCTTTATCTTTCAGTTGTTTCCTGTTAATAAGATCTTTAGATGTTGGTGTATTTAGTTTTCATATTCATTTGCTTCATCTTGAATATGTTGATTTGTTGATGACTGTTCTCTTCAAATATGAACTGAACCTAATATGTCCTGCACAGCTACTGGAAGGGTTACAACAAAAGTGGATGTATATGCTTTTGGAGTGATTTTGATGGAGATTATGACGGGGAGAAAAGCTCTAGATGATACAGTGCCGGATGAAAGGGCTCACTTGGTCACATGGTTCCGCCGTGTCCTAGTCAACAAGGACAACCTTCCAAAGGCAATCGACCAAACTCTGAATCCTGACGAGGAGACCTTTGTGAGCATTTTCAAAGTGGCCGAGCTAGCAGGGCATTGCACAGCTCGTGAGCCACACCAAAGACCAGATATGGGCCATGCTGTCAACGTCTTAGGACCTCTAGTAGAACAATGGAAACCTACCAACCATGAAGAGGAAGGCAATTCTGGCATTGATCTCCACATGAGCCTTCCTCAGTTTCTCCAAAGATGGCAAGCTGATGAAGGTACTTCGACAATGTTTAACATGTCTTACTCCCAATCCCAATCAAGTATTCCAGGAGGATTTTCAGACTCATTTACTTCAACCGATTGTCGGTGACCAGAAAGAAACAATCTGTATATTTCTTAAGACGAGACAGGTATCATACAGTTAAAGATGAATGGGGGAATGAGATAGGCTAACAAGCTATTCAACCCCGCAAGCCGCAATGCAAAATCTCAGTTGATACCACCACTGTTTTGCTACATTGATCGATTCATTTTTTGTTTTTCCTTGAATGATCTTATTCGTTACAGAGCCAAACTAGTAGCCATGTCGTTTTTGATCAATTCCTTGTAACTAACCAATTGATTTGGTTATCCAGACAATGGGGGATGTTGTAATATATTTCTTCACTCGGTTTTCATCATCTTACTACTTCATTACATTTACATCCTGTAGGTCCATGATCACCTTGACCCACCCCTTTTCTCATCATTTTCCCTGGAATTTGCTCTCATATTTCCTGCCAGCTTTTGACGTGTTTGAGTAATTCTTAAGGCTTTGTGAAAACAAATGGAAGGAGTTAAGATCCTGTAATTGTCAACTAGGCTTCAAGGTTAGTTGCTTTGTACAAGGAAAAAAAAAAGACGCCACTGTGGAGGCATGCTCTGATGAGTTGGATGTTAGCTGGATGACAGGCTCTGATAATATTCCTACTTTTCAAGCATTTAAGCTTTTGTGCCGGCTAATTTGTAGTCACTGTGGACAACATAAATGTTTTGTTTTAATTCTCTTGCGCTACTTTTTTCATATTTCAATCTTGAATCATGTCATCATATAATATCATATATAATAGCAAATCATAAGTAATTTCAAGTAAAATTCATTAATCATTCAATTTTAAAAAGAAGGTTATGTGTGCTTTATATTGTAGGAAAACGGAATGGTCTGAACTTAAAAGTGACTTCACATGGAAATCATTCCTTCAAAGGTGCAACCACAGCATGCTGAGAGGGAATTCAGAAAGATCCCTTCATCAATGGATGACTTTTGTAGTGGTCCACACGTTCTGTTCTTGATTCCAGGATGACTTTTTGTAGGTGCCAGCACATGCCATGAGACCTAATCTCCATTTCTTACATTTAGGAAACATAATTAAATTATTTTTGCAATAATGATTCTTTCTAGTAAACTCCAACGGGCTTAATAGTAATGTAAAGCTCCTTCGATCTAGAGTTTAGAATAAACTGGGTTGCAAAAAAATAATTTTTGTATTGTTAACCTAGTAAAATACTTGGGTTCATCCGGTAATTTAGCTAATCCAGGTCTGATCAGATTAAAATCCAATCATCAATTTATTATTTTTTATTTTGTCAAAACTTTGCTTTAAAATTGTTTTAATTTGTTTTTCCACCGATTTAACCTAAACTTGCCCCACCGAAAAACTATGGATGTCGTGATGACGGAGGAAAAATACACGTATGAGGTGGCAATTTTGATGATGGTATTTATTTCATTAAAGAGGTTGTTCTTTGAGCTGTCTTTCACAGTTACAGTTTCATGATTGATCATAAAGCTAGCACAACTAACATTTTCAGAGTTGTTCAACTTTATATTGCGAGGTTGTTCGATTAAATACCTACTTGAAAACCACAACCTTAACTAACCTTTTCAAGCATAACATCTCACTTCAAAACATTAGTTCTCTCTTAAAATCTTCGCTGGTGATGGTATTTCTGAGTAGAAAAATCTTACGTTGTTACTACTAAATAACTATTATATAAAATTGATAGATTTTCTTTCGAGAAAGAAATGCACTATCCAGACTCACAGAAACAGCATACTTGATTTTTCTTTTCTTATGGTATCCAGTTGACAAGGTTTAAATACACCAAGAATTCTGCATGAATATATTTTGGTCCCCTTTATTTTATTTTCAATAATCTATAGCCATTCTTTATGACCTGTGAACCCATATTGTATGTGTACAAAAGCTCATTTGCCCCTCAATCATGTCTTATATGATAATTTCTAGTGACAATGTGCTATCTGTTTTACACAACCATCCAAGCTGGAAACAAGAGGACATAAATTCTGGGGCAGAATGCTGACCAGCACCACCCTGACTGCTTAATTGATGGACATGATTGACAGTGTCACTCTTTATCCAGGTTCAAGGACTCATGGTGCTGTGAATCTTGAATAATATAAAAGTTCTGCACCGTCACCTTTTAAATGGTTGATGTATGCGAGGACAGGAGGCAAGTGAGCTGACTGAAAATGTGGGGAGGATGGCAGCTAATTGTATCCTAGTCGACCCTCCTTTCTACCACGAAAATGAATTGGTAACTTTTGTTGCCTGTCAACTTGGAAATTCTCTTGATGAAGATCACCTCGAGTCACAATTCTCAGAGGGTGTGCTTCTGTGTTGAATACCCATTCATCCAGAGAGATGACAGATGTAGGTGAAAATAGGAGGTACAGATACTTGAGCGTCTCGGCAAGGAAGAAACTCTGCATCATGTTGTCTTTGTTACCTGAGTTCACCTGTGCGAATAGACAAGAATAATTGAGTTCAAAACTTTATAATGCTTTGCTTTTCGGTTCTAATTAAGGATCATTCATTAAAATAAATCCATGCATGGGATTTTAAAATGGATATAGGACCCGTACATTTAACAAAAGCACAAAATTTTGAGGCAACTAAACAGCACAAAGCATGGGAAAAACCAGTGGTATTTAGGAGTTGCGGTTCTGGTTCATTCTATTTCGCGAACATGCAATAAAGTAGTAGAGGATTCAAGTCATACCTTTCTGAAAAGACACAACAGAATACACGGACTGGACTAGGGTCATTATGCGTGTGCATGCATGAAGGTGTTTGTTATATAACATTAAGACTACAATCTTTGGGTTAGAGAAATCTTACATCCTTAAGACCAACATATCCAGTCTCTAAGCGGGAGTTCTTTTCGAATGCTTGAAAAATATTCCAACCCCATTCTTGGTATGTCTTGTTTCCAGTGATACGCCACAGGTAAAAGAGTGACTCAACTGTCTCAGGCCTCAAAATGTTCCATGAAGTTCCAACATTCATGTCCTGCAATTTCATCTTCTTTCAGTATCAAGCATACAACAAGTGAATATCTTCCATTTTTCAATCTAGAAGAGAGTATCAAACCTGTCCAGGGTGAAAGTAATAGTTCTCTCCAGCCAGTTTTGTAGGTGTCAACTGGTAGAAATTATAACAAGTCCATGCAAGCTACAGTTCAAAGCCAAAAATTAAATTAGATGTAGCCACCGAAATCTGAAACTAATAAACATGTGGACCACGAACAAAATAACTATGCACCAGTCAATTAGTAGATTAGGAAGCCATGAAACGGGACCAGCATATTCAATTTCTCAGCTGCAATTTTTTTTGCCTATATGCTTCTTTAAATGCTTTTGCTTATATGATGGACCTCAACTTTTGGCCAGGCAAGCAAGCTTTCTGCAAATGCATCCTTGAGGTTAGCTAATACCAATCATAGTAACAATAGGGATAGTGATGGTGGAGACAGTGCTATTTTTCTCGCTTCTCTTTGTTACTGCATTTTCTTGAAAAAAACACGACTCTACCTCAATAAAGCATATTTTCATTGTGGTTTCAACACTTGAACTCTTTCATACTTACCAAATAACCTACTCCACACACATCCAAGCATTTCCCAGTCACTTCATCTAAATTCCCATGTCACTTCTGCCGCACAAAATTCTGTCTTCCTTCAGCCATCTTCTATCTATCTCAACAATTTTATGTTTGACACCTTATCGTTGATCTAGAAGTAGAAGAATGTAAAATTACCATAATTCTAGTATTCCCTTGTGTGACAGCCAGTATTCTTGATCCCAGCATCCCAACTATTGTGAAAACTAAGCAGTTTTCAAGACCAGTTGGCAACAATAAGCATCCATTTTTCCTTAAAAACCATATCTCTAAATTCAACAAAAAATATTTAAATTTTATCTTTTTTGAACCATGGAAATACATTAGGAGAATTGCAAGCACAGTGACAGAAGCAGCAGTCTACTGACACGTGGCATTACAAAACTTCATTCAGATTCCTGTACTATCAATACAAAATCCATAGTGGTCAGGAGCCTTCAAAGGCTGATGGGTTGGGGCATGATAGAAAGAAGAGAAAGCAAACACAATGAGATTACCTTAAATTTCAGAAGATCAAGGTATCCCTCATCAATTAAACTTAACTTTGTACCACCATAAATTCTGCTTCTTATAAACTTCACAAAAGACGCAGAACTCATTTGAAAATTCAGTGATTATTGGTTCATTCAGATCTTCTTATCTCACAAACTGTCAATATTCTAAATTCATTTTTTTTAAGAGTTTTAACACACCACAAAGTCAGTTGAATCCAAGAAACTCCTTTTTATATACTCTGTCTTAATACAATTAGCTTGGTGCATTGCAGTGTAGACTAATACTAATTGACTAGAAAACAAACACATTAGTGCAAATGACAATGATTACAAAATCAATAAATATAAAGGCTATTTCTTAATTAATACCTCTTCTGCAAGTGATAAAACCTTTTCGGCTTCACCAGAGCCATAACCTTTAGATCCTAAAGCCAACATGCCAGGAGCAAAGCATGCCAATTCATCCATCTACAGTGATGAAGAAGTTAAGCTCTTGAAAGACCACACAACAACTTAGTCATCAAATAGTTAGGAGATTTCCTCAAATTGTTTGACTACCTTGTCAGATAAAAAATTTCCATTCTTCTCGCAAATGTATGTGAAGGATGATGGGGTTGTTTTCCGAACCAAGCTTTGGAGACCTTTCATCGATGTCTCCCACATTTCTCTGTTTGCAGTATTCATTAACAAAGATTTTGTCAATGTAGAGATTCATTTGAGAGTTCTCAAAATGCAAAATGTCATGTAACCATTACAAATAGATGAGGGAAATAATAATCAAAGCTCATCTTTATCATAATGGTTCAGTGACCAACTGAAGAAATTGATCACAGCATCCTATGTCAATATTTAACATTGATTTTCCAAGATCACAAGCCAATGCCATAAATTTTTCATCACAGAAATCAACATTATAGGGAACTGAAACTTTGTGCTACTCACTTCTACAAGCTTTGCAAAAATAATATTACGAGGCGAGAGACAGAGGTATAGGTGTCTTCATGGTGGCACAAACAATAAATTAGTAAAGTAACCTACATTTTATCATTTAGCAACTAAATATAACACTAAGAAATGCAACTAAGCAACTAAATATAACACTAAGAAATGCAACATTTCTCCCACAGGTTATAGATTAGCAGTTAGGAATTTTTATCATCATATATGTAACACCATGATTTTTGGAATTTTGCCAATCCTACCACACAGCTGACAAAATTACAAGCATTTTAAGTGAAATTGCATAATC